GTGGGTCCGCCTTGGGCAAGAGCTGGTGAGTCCAGCCGAGGCCGGGGCCGCAGAGCCCTGCCAGCCCCTCCTGGCCCTGCGGCCTCGTCCCAGCTGCCTGGTTTGGGGGATGGTTCGGACCGAATATCTTTTAGGGACAGATAAGCAGATCTGATCCCTTTGTGGGCTGCGGTTTGATCTCTGTGTGGCCCTTTGGCCCTCCTGTCTGTGGCTTTTCTGAGTTGGCCAAGCAGGAGAGAGCTCTGCCAAACTCAGCAGATGCCAAGGGTGCTCCTCTTCTTCTAGGTGTTGCCGTGTTTGCCTGGAAGGGGGAGTCGGAGGATGACTTCTGGTGGTGCATTGACCGCTGTGTTAACGTAGATGGCTGGCAGGCCAACATGGTAATGAGCCTTGTTCCAGCCCTTCCTCCTCCTCCGTGGAGCGGTCACTGGGTGCTCCTCACCCTTCCATCCCTGGGGCTGTTCCTGGGAGGCTGCTGGGGCTGCCTGGGCATCTGCTGGCGTTGCAAAGGCCTCTGAGCCCCCGTTAAAGCGGGGGTGCCGGGGAACGGCAGCCAGCGCTGGGCTGAAGGCCACCGTGGGCGTTGTGGGAGCTGCAGAGACAGTGTCCCGAGCTGGTACAGCCCGGTGGCATGGGAGCAGCTCCCGCCCGAGCGGCCAAGAGTCGAGAAACCATGGGACCTCTTCTCCCCCAGGGTCAGCCCTACGGGAGCTGCCCCAGCCGCTCCTCTCCCGACACAGATCCCGTCCACCCTCTCCCAAAGAGAGAGGGGTCTCTGCAGGGGATCTTTGACGCCTCTCACTGCCTTGATGCATGGTCTGTGATCACTGATGATGCGATAGCATGCGCTAGTGGGCCGTGACGGCTCCCGCAGCCTTTCCTCTCAACTGTTTGCTTTCAGGGCATGAATGTTGCGGCGTCCTTCTGATCTCAGCATCTTTAGTTAGTGCTGCCTGTGGTCGCGTTTCCAGGCTGCAGAGCAATAGCAGGGGCAGAAAACCTGGTTAGGATCCATCAGCTCCAACGCAGGGGGTAAGAAATCCTCTGTGTTTTGGAGGAGTCCCCGAGCTGCTGGCAACGAGGGGAACCCAGGAGTCCTGGCCCCAAGACCTCTGCCCAAACAGCCCTCCATCCATGCCTGAAGATGCTCTCCATCTCTTTTTCCCCGTCTTGTCCCCAGCAAGTGCTTTTCCCAGTGGAAGGCCTGACTGCTCCATGCTCTTCTCTTGCCTGTTCTCTAGATCCTGGATGACGGCGGGGACCTGACCCATTGGGTTTATAAGAAATACCCCAACGTATTCAAGAAGATCCGAGGGATTGTGGAGGAGAGTGTGACTGGTGTGCACAGGTAGGAGGTTTGGGAAGGCTGATCTGGAGATCTCCTGCTGCGTTGCTGCTCTCTGCTCTGACCTGCCTCTGTCCTCTTCCAGGCTGTACCAGCTCTCCAAGGCCGGGAAGCTGTGTGTCCCAGCCATGAACGTGAATGACTCCGTCACCAAACAGAAATTTGATAACCTGTATTGCTGCCGGGAATCCATCCTGGACGGGTGAGTCCAACCCTTCTCCCCATCCGCGCTGTCCCTCTCGCACCGGTGGGTTTGGCTCCGGCTCCTCTTGAGCCAAGATCGGGCTCTGCGCTGTTTTGCCCTTGCTGTGTGCTTGCAGGACCTGGTTTTGGGGGCTCTCGCAGCGGAGTGCTGCCCTGTGCCGTCAGCAGTGTGCGCTTGACTAATCCCAACACAGGTCTCTCTGTCCCCCAGCCTGAAGAGGACCACGGACGTGATGTTCGGAGGGAAGCAGGTGGTGGTTTGTGGTTATGGGGAGGTGAGTTTCGTAAGCGGCAGTCGGTGGAGCTGTGAGTCAGCCTGCCCCCGAGCCATCCTTCCCCTGAGCTCCACGGCCTGCTTCTTCCCTGTGCAAAGACCACTTGCCCTTGATATAGGGGTAGAGCAAACCTGGTGAGCGATTACCAGGGAGATCTGGCTAGAACCTGCTGGGAGGCTGGAGAGCAAGCATCACATTTCCCAGTTTGCCTGCAGATTAGCTGGGCTGCAAATACGACGGTTGCTGTGAACGCTGGCCTGAATTATAACTACCCATGGGTGCTCCCATCTGCTGTCCTGGACTGAGTTCAGCATCCAGCCCGGCTGTCACCAAGCCTGTGACAGAGGAGGCGGAGGGGCAGGCTGCATCTCGCTGGTGGATAATGTTCTGGCACAGGGGACTCGTATCACGAACTTGTAAACGGTTCTGCCCTGGAAGAGCGCAGAGCCGGGAGCTGACACCTTCCCTCCATCTGTGCGCTGTCTGCGTGGGTGTTTGTCTTCCCGCGCTGTGAAGGGCCTGGCAGTAGCTGCAGATGCTCTTCCCGGCAGGAACATGCTTACTGATTTATTTAGACACCAGTGGAGCCCAGCTCTGCTCGACCAAGAGGCTGCGCTGGCTCTCGCCCAGGCGCTCCGGGGGGGCCTCTGATTCTGTGCCGGGAGTTCTAGTCTCCAGGGCCTGTCCCAGGCTTTACTGGGCAGCTTCAAAACAAGGGAGTCCTTCCACCCTCACTAGTTTCCCCTTTGGATGAGGGTTGGAGTCCCAGTTTGCCTTGCCTGGCTGTTTTCAGTAGACTTAAGGTCGGAGCTGGGCGATAAGTGAGGGTTGTCTCTGGAGGTGTTTCTTGCCTGGCAGCATCTCTTGCTGATTGGAAAATGGGGCTGAGCATGGGTACGGGTGCAGATTAGCCAGGTGTTGGTGTGGGTAAGTGGTGTGGAGAGCCGGATTTCACTTTAATTTTGTAGTGAGGAGAGGGCTGGAGTCAGAGATGCTGTTACAGGAGCTCTGCTCTCCCCCATGCTGATGCGGGGAGCGTGGGATGGACGATCTGTCCCCCGATCAGTGCAGGACAGCTCTGAATACCAAAGAAACCCTTTGGCCTAAAGGCAAGCGGGGGAAGCGCATGCTCATCCAGACTGGCTTTAATCTCCTGCTGGAGGAGAGCTCAGAAGGGTTCCTGGCAGCTAGTGGCCGTGCTGGAGGGCTGGTGGCCTTGGAGGGGGAGCTGGGCTTGTGGCAGAAGTGCCGCTCGCCAGGTACATCGCTGCGCTGCTCCTGGCGTCGGGCAGATGGCCGGGATGAGCATCTCCCAGGCTGGGACGCGCTCGGGCTGTTGTAGGGAAGGGGTTGTACCACTCGCAGCTTCACGCTGACGCTTTGCCTCGGCAGGTCGGCAAGGGATGCTGCGCCGCTCTGAAAGCCCTGGGAGCGATCGTCTACGTCACGGAGATCGACCCCATCTGCGCTCTCCAAGCCTGGTAAGATGTTACGTGCTGCTTGCAAGCATCTCTTCAACTGCTCTCTGGCCTCTAAACCCTGATTGGAGGCTGAAACAGAGCCAGGAGGATCTGTGGCTCATCTCAGAGAATATACATCTTACTGGGTGTGATGGCGAAGGGCTGGGGCAGCTTTCGGGGCTGGGTCAGTGGTGGGGTACCAGGCAGTAGGCACCTGCCCTGGCTGGCTTGGGAAGGCTGCTCGAGGGTTCCTGCAGGGCTGGCTCCACACATCCCCTGGCTCCTCCAACATTTGAGAGAGCAGGTTTGACGCCGCGTCCTTCGCACAGCCCTTCCTCATGCATCTGGCATCCCTGGGGGTGTGGAGGCATAGTCCGGCTGCTGCGTGACCAGTTCGGAGCTGCTGCAGCAATACAGCCCGCAGATCCCTCCTGGCTTGGGGCCGAGAGGGAACAGGCTTCCCCTCCTCATCGTGGTCCCTCTCCCCCTTTTTTGCCAGCATGGACGGATTTCGGGTGGTGAAGCTGAGCGAAGTAATCCGTCAGGTGGATGTCGTCATCACCTGCACAGGTAGGGATGGAGGAGGTCGTGGGTGAGCCGTGGAGCAGGCTGAGAAGGAGCAGTCGTTCCCAAGCGGGTGTCTCGAGGGCTCTGGGGGAGCTGGGGGTGGAGGACGCCTCGCTGCCACATGCTGCGAGTTTTACAAGAGCAGTAGCTGTGCTCCGGCAAGAGCTTTTCCTCCTCCCCCCCGCCGTCTGCTCTTTGGCCACAGTCCTCCTCAGCCCCTGGGAGGAGGGACATCACAGCCATGTGTCCCAAGATGTTTTGGGGTCTCCCAGAGCCTGGTTGATTGGTGGGACCAAAGATCAGCACTCATCCCACGTGTTTCTCTGTTGTCACAGCCAGGAGGGCTCTCATCCTGGTGGAAGTTCATCTGGTGTTGCCCCAGGCAGAGCTTGTCTGACTCAAGTGCAGGGAAGGAGAATCAGAGGGTTTGTATTTCGACTGCCTTGGGTTCATCTGTGCCCTCTCTGCCTGCAGGAAACAAGAACGTGGTGACCAGAGAGCACCTGGATCGGATGAAGAACAGCTGCATCGTGTGCAACATGGGCCACTCCAACACCGAGATCGATGTGGTGAGTGCCCGCGGCCTCGCCGGCTGCGTCCGCCCCGCCGTCCTCCCGCCGTGACTCCAGCCTCTTCCTCCTGCTCTTGCAGACCAGCCTCCGGACCCCGGAGCTGACCTGGGAGCGGGTCCGCTCCCAAGTGGACCACATCATCTGGCCGGATGGGAAGCGGGTGGTGCTGCTGGCCGAGGTGCGCTGGGAGCTGTGCCGCGATGTTGCTTTGGGCCTCTGTCAGGAAATCGCTGCGTGCCAGAGTTTGTAACAGAGATTTAACGGGTGGAAAGGTGCTGGGACACTTCGTACCTACGAGGAGGTTCAGAGTTCAGGGTTTCTGGATTTGTTTCCTCTTCTTCCTTTGCTGGAGGCAGGGGAGGCGTCACGCCCCACATGCAGTCACAGAGGTGCTGTCTGGCTCCGTTCTTTGAGCCGGGAGCCATCCCCATCAGCCAAGCGCCGTCTGCTTCTGGCTTTGGCAGGGTTTCCCACGCAGCAAACCGGCTGGGTGTCTCCTCTTCCCACCTGAGCTCTCCAGGCAGCAGCAGGAACTGGCTCTGGGGACCACAGAATCTCCTTGCCTTAAAGCTAAGGGTTAGGGTGGAAGCTGAGGCAGGGTTTGGATGGTCTGGTTGCGTAGGTGGCCCTTGAATCGCTGCACTGTAGTTGCCCCCTGCCCCAGGGAGGGGCAGAAGTGAATCCTATCTTGAGCCTGGATTCGATTTGGCTTTGGGAGCAAGTTCGGCTCTCTGCAGACTCCTCCTGCTGTCTCCTAGGGCCGTCTTCTCAACCTGAGCTGCTCCACGGTTCCCACCTTCGTTCTCTCCATCACGGCCACCACTCAGGTCCGTATGCTGCCGGGCTGGGGCGCGAGGGGTGGGGGGTGCCGTGGGGGCCTTGCATGAGCCTCGGTGTGGGGACGGTTTGGGAGAAGCTGGGAACACACAGCTGGATGGGTCCTTGGGATGGCACCAGTGCCAGAGATACCGTAGCCACCAGCTCTTGGCTGGGATGCCGTTAATGACGGCGTGAACTTCCTGCTGTGGTTACAGCTGGGGGAGAGCTTTTAGAAGATGCAGGCTTCATGGCCGAGCTCCTGCTGTGCTGTAAGAGCTCCCCTAGCACAGGTTCAAGCTTACCTCAGAGCAAGGCTTTGTTTTGTCTTTGGACTCCTTGATTTCTTCAGCACAAAAAAACCCCCCGAAAAACCCTGGGATGAGTTTTGGGGATCTGGAGGTCAGTGGTTAAAACGCTCCCCGGCATCAGTGCCGGCTCAGCTGGGCGGACGCAGCTCGTATCTGGCGCCGTTTGTCGTGCCTCTGCCTTTCCAAAGAAAACGATCATTAAATTTGGCCGCGATCTGCGGTCGGTGCTGGCCGTGCGAGCAGCCGAGGCCGGCGCGGCCTTCGCTCGGTGAGCGATGGGAGAAACCCGCTGGGCTGGAGACCCGG